CTCAACCTTTGCAACTTTAAGATATGTGGACTTCAACTCCCCCTCCTGGCTGGGGAATTCTGGGAGTTGAAGTCCACATATCTTAAAGTTGCAAAGGTTGAGGAACACTGCACTAGATGACAACAAAGAGACAGAGAAAAACTTTAAAATTTTGTTGCCATTTACTGGTCCACTGGATTCTGTAGTTCTATCTAATATAAGTATTATGCAGTTTACTTTATTATTTTTTCTCCCAAACAGCCACAACTATCTTTATTTTTCCCTCTTGGAAATAAGAATACAGTACTTATTTTTATCTGTTTACTTAGAAGTAACCCCACTGAGCTCAGTGGGACTTAACTCCCAGATAAGGGCATACATGATGGTAAGCTGTTCACCTACAAAATGTGTCAGAATGCTTTTCCTCAACCATGCTTCAGCAATATGCTCCCATTACCTCTGAGTTTCATAGAAACTGTAGTTCAGAAGGACACTAGGTTGGGAAGGGTACCCTAGTTCAATACTCAGCTGTTCTGAATCCATTTCAGGATCAAGAGCAAGAAAACATTGCTAAAGGGGTTTTTTCATGACACCTTTACCCATGGTTTAACTTAATTCCATAAGCCATGAAAAAAACAATTTTCTAGGTTTACATAGAGAAAGTTGTGTTCATGCAACATTCTTGGTTAAAATGTGTTGATTAGCTTTGGACTCAATATGTGGTGCGAATCCAACTACTGTAACTAGTTTATGATCCAGTGTGCCATGCAAATCAGGTCTCATATAAATTGGATGACCATATAGAATCTGAGGATACTGATTCCCAGCTGAACACACCAACAATGAAATTTGATGCTAGATATTAAACTCTGACTGGATTTGCACAGTGTTAAACTAGTGCTTATTTTGCCATGGTTTACTGAATAAACTGCAACTGATTAAGTTTATACAACATGCTAAGCCATAAACTGTGGTTTACAAACCAGAAAGTTTGGGCTCAAACAACATAAGCTGAAGCTGTATTACAGCTTAATATATTATGCAAACTCCACCTTTCTGTTGGCAATTCTTTACATATGTTGTAAGAAGCGCTTGGGATTGCACTGCAGCTGATACAAATGAAAATCTCCCTGATCGTTATTGAACATTTGGCTTGTGCCATCTTCTTTGCTTATCCTGGCCACCAGTGAATGACACCCGTCATATTCCTGTGTATGCCACAGTGGTTGAGAGATGGGTCTTTAACCCGTCTAATTCTGGCGGGAGGGTGTAGCATTTTGGATCAGCAGCATAGGGCAGAGCAGGTTACATCTTTATCCATAATTTAATTACTCTAATTTCCTGTCTTGTGCAACACACTGACCCAGAAATTAACCAGAAAGGCTGGGTTCACACACATTAAATGAAAATGTAACTGGGCTGTGCTTCAGGAATCACACAACCCAGTCACTGATTACAGTTTGAAAGCAGAAACATTCCCATTTTCACAATTAATCTAGCATTGGGACGGGGCTACCAGACTGTCTGGAAAACTCCCGACAGTCACGAGATGACGAGAGAGACGGCGAACTCTCACTTCTTTGCCGCCATCTAGTGGCCATCCTGATAGCCTTCCTTTTGGAGGTGCGGTACTGTCGCCAGAAAGTCAACGTGGACGTGATTCTATGATTACAAGTAGCTGAGACTGACTGACTGACTGACTGACTGATGGGAGTGGGGTTCACCATTAAAGGATCTGATCCATTCTTCTAGCCCTTAACCTTCTTAATTCAGCTGCTTTTTAAGAAGGATAAGCAGTGAGCGTCGCTGCTCTGCAATTCTTCCTCCGGCGTTTGGTGGGATCCAGGCAGTAAGTTGAGACTGAGGCATTGCAACATCCTGGCTGTATTTGCCTAAAAGACTCATCTTGATGAGTGTTAACTTTGCTTAGATGTTGTGGTGGTGGTTTTGCGGCGGTCTGTTGTGCGAGCCCAGTCAGTGTGATTAGTTCATAGCCTGTTGCGCAACCTCAAGCAATTGGGTTAATTCAGGATCCCGAGATTCACTGGTCGAAGCATTCAGCCACTGACAGTGCAACGCAGCCTCGAAGTCTGAAGGACCCACTGACCCCACCACAAAGCAGCCCCCCCTCTATTAACCCAGCGTGGGGCAGCCACGCAGCCGGCCAACACGCTCCCTTTGTGGCCCAGCGTGCGGTGCGAACCTAGCAAATCTCGGGTTCAGTCAGGAAACTGGTTCAGTCACGCGGGGTAAGAGAGAGCGCCACCTTCTTGGAAAAAGCGGGAGGAGGGGGCGTCTTGCATTAAGTACCGACCTCCCTCAATTCCGCGAGAGTGGCACAGCAGGCGGCGGCGGCGGCCCCTTCCCGGCGCGCCTTGTTTCCCCGGAGCACTCCGCC